TTGTGTACAAGTTTAAACCAGAATAATAAAATAAAAAATTATTTGTATGCTGTTTTTAACAAAGATTTAAAAATTTTTAATTTTGTTTTAATTATTGAATTAACTTTCTTAGGATCGTACACGTATTACTGTAATGTTGACAGCAAATGCAACTGGAACTGAAAAATTAAAGCCAATAGTTATTAGATCTTCTATTGAACCCCATGCTCTAGCCTGTTTAAATTATGATACCTTACCTGTTACATACCGGTCAAATTTAAAAACCTAGATGCGATCAGATATCTTTGGCGAATGGCTTACAGAGCTTGATAAGAAATTTCGCTTGGAAAACTGGCATATTTTGTTGTAGTTGATGGCATATCAAGCCATTATAATCCTAATGAATCTAATGAAAATAATGATGAATATAATAATTCTAATGAAGATGTGTCAGAATCAGACGAAGTGAAGAAGAGGAATTAGAAAGTGAAAATTCAGATAATGAAGATGATCATGCAAGCTCTTCTAGGAACTCTACTCGATATGGCTGTAGTCACCCAAGGTTAAGCGCAAGTAACATAAATAAACAAAGTGGACGAAATTCTTGTGGTCGTGGCCATGGCCATAGCTGTGGTTGTGGTTGTGGTTGTGGTTGTGGTCAGGCTTCTTGTGGTAGCAAGAGTCATCAGGGCCGTGCTCGTCCTTATAGACTTCCAGAATCTTCTGAAACTCCTTTAACAAATATCAGGCTTGAGTTTTTGCCACCTCACACTACTGCTCACCTGCAACCAATAGATGCGAATATCATTAATAGCTTTAAAGCAAAGTATAAAAAAAAATACATACGACATATAATTGATCAATTTGAAAAGAAAAGGATTTAAAAACATAAGAACATATCAATAAGCCTAGTGTTACTAACCTAAAAAGCTTCACTAAGAAATTTTTGCTGTTGGATTAAGATCAAGTTTCACTATTAGATTAGGTTATTATAATTTTTCAAGAAAAAAAATTTTCTTTAATGCAGAAGGCAGTTTCATAGCACTGCAGCATAAAATTTTGTGGCATAGATGATTTTTGGATTGTTATGATTTTTTGTGTTACACGTGATCTTGGAAATTTGATTGGCCAGTGAAGTTTTTTAGATGGTAACACTAGTGCTGTAGTATATTTCTTAATACGGCGTTCTGGCTGATTGGGCTTTTTTTCTAATTTTAGTTTGGTTTCAACAATACTGTATAGCACTGCATATAATATTCAAAATAGTATGATTCAATCGTTAGATTAGTGTAGTACCCAGACCTACATATATGCAATGCTAAACGATAATTTTTTTTTTGTTTTGGTGCTACTATTTTTTTCTATAGAATAGTTTTAAAGAATTTTATTAATTTAAACTTTCTTGAATTATATAGTCAAAAATTGAACATTAGAGAAGCGATAACTTATGTTGCAAAATCATGGGATGAAGTTGAAATGTCAACAATTGTGAATTGTTGGGTAAAAACTAGAATTTTTCCAGAATTATCTAGTGATGAAATTGAAGATGCTACTTTTGCCCTGCAAGACTTGGTGGATTTTGAAAAAAATAAAAATGACGAATTAATCGTAGACCTAACATTGAATTCATTAGAACTGGCAATTGAGCGTGAAATAAATAACTTCAACAATTTAAATAATTCTCAAATACTTACAGAGGATACTCTTGATGAAATGCAAATTGTAAATATTGTATTATATGAACAATGAGAATATGAAGAAGGTGATACAAGTGATACAGATAATGAACCACCTGAAGTTTCTGTTGTAGAGGGATTAGATGGTTTAAAAAAATTTGTTGGCTTTTTTGAGCAACAAAAAAGCAATGATTTTAATATAGAAGATTTGAAGGTTTTCAGGAAATACGTGTCATTGATAGGGAGAAAATATACGGAATCAATGAACCAAAAATCAATTTCTAACTTTTTCTTATCTGTATAATTAATAGCAAATTAATTTTTTAGAGGTAGCACAGATCTTTGACGGTACTACGTAAAGGATGATTATCGGAAGAACTAGCAAAACTAAACGGGACTGAAGTGTTTGGCAGCACTCCACCAACCAGGCCGCCGGAAAAGTAACCGGAGGAAAAGGACCCAATCGTGGGGACCAGGGCAGGTCATAGCCCTTTCGAGCCATCTGGATTGGTAGTTTGGATAGCTAGGGACACCGTACAAAGTCTGTAACATGTGGACCGGGATTTGGGTGAACTCTATAAGGGCAGAAGTAGGTTGTGTAGCGGCGACCAGGCCAAATATGGAAACTGGGCCGCAAGTGGTGGGCCTCGGCCCGTGCATATCAACCGAAGACTAGATCAGCTGGATTGTGGGTATAGAAGGCTCTAGCAGGTTTACCTCGAGGACAAAGAGCTTACTGGTTGAGCTTGCTTTA